GTTTGACGTATTCAAAGCACGCAACTCCTCATGTTGGATTCCGTAGATATCTCAGGTCTTAGGATCCAATCATGGAACCGTCATATGAGATTCTAGTCATGACTCTAGTCCATGTGACAATCTCATGCGGGTCAGTCCAGTATTCCGTTCTGCAACGAATACCTATGATTGTGATCGTATCCAATACTTATGATCATCTATGTGATCATCAATCACACATCATACTAGTCTTATTATGTCGTTATTCCCATAACGACATAAGACTAGGGAGTTTAGTATCATTCCTAATGATACATGGATTTCATAACAGATCTAGCATGCAGGAACATGTAATGAACAAAATACTCTCATAAAAAAAACATATAGAAAGTATCAATACATTGAATGTATCTGAACAAAGCTCATAATCAGTACATCATAGAGCACTAAACCAACAATCTCCCACTTGCTCTAATCATGAACTGCTAAACATCTAATGCCCATATCCCTAACATGACCCTCATGCTTCGACAAAGGGAGAGGCTTCGTCAACGGATCGGCAATGTTGTCATCTGTCGACACTCTGCAAATGTGTACGTCTCCTCTGTCTATAATTTCCCTGATAAGGTGAAATCGTCTGAGTATGTGTTTGGATCGTTGATGGGATCTAGGTTCTTTCGCTTGTGCGATCGCTCCATTGTTGTCACAATACAGAGCAATGGGGCTATCAGCACTCGGAATGACACCCAAGTCACCAACAAACTTTCTGATCCAAACAGCTGCCTTTGCTGCGTCCGACGCTGCAATATACTCAGCTTCTGTAGTAGAATCTGCAACGGTCGCTTGCTTGGAACTCTTCCAGCTCACAGCGCCTCCGTTCAAGCAGAAAACATAGCCAGACTGCGATCTGTAGTCATCCGGATCTGACTGGAAACTAGCATCGGTGTAACCCTTTACAGCGAACTCATCTTCCGACCCACCGTATACCAAGAATACATCCTTAGTCCTTCTCAAGTACTTCAGGATGTTCTTGACGACGATCCAGTGCGACTCACCTGGATCTGATTGATATCTACTCGTAATGCTCAACGCATATGATACATCCGGTCGAGTACAAAGCATGGCATACATGATGGATCCAATTGCCGAAGCATATGGAATCTGATCCATGCGTTCTCGCTCATCAGGTGTCGTAGGACACTGACTCTTGCAGAGAGTTGTGTCACTGCTCATCGGTAAGGTTCCTTTCTTGGAATCTTGCATCTTGAACCGTTTCAAGACCTTATCGATGTAAGTACTCTGACACAATCTAGAAGATGCCTCGATCTATCTCTATAGATCTTTATGCCTAGAATATAGGCCGCTTCTCCTAGGTCCTTCATAGAAAACTGCGTTCCTAGCCAAGACTTTACGTATTGCAGGGTAGGAACCTCATTCCCTATAAGAAGAATGTCATCCACGTACAGCACTAGAAATACTACTGTGCTCCCACTAGCCTTCTTGTAAACACATGGCTCGTCTTTGTTTTTCATGGCTCGTCTTCGTTTTGTGAGAAACCAAACCTTTTGATTGTCTCGTCAAAGCGAAGGTTCCAAAACACAGTCCGTTCGTTCGGACTGGTCAGTCCGTTCGGTCCAACAATTTGGTCCGTTCGGACCGGATCCTCTAGTCCGTTCGGTCCAACAATTTGGTCCGTTCGGACTGGATCCTCTAGTCCATTCGGTCCAACAATTTGGTCCGTTCGGACTAGATGCTCTGGTTCGTTCGGTCCACTCCTGGACCGAACGGTCCGGACCTTGTGTCCAGGTTTCTCGATGTTCTCTCGTGGATTTGTCCTTCCCTGCGTGTGTGACCCTGTAGGATAATTCGATATAGCAGTATAACCCGAAATCTCTATTCCGGATATACAAGTCATAGGCGGTCTTTAGCAAGACACTATGACTACCTATCTCGAATAGAGTTTGTTCGTGATCTTACAAACGCCAGAGATGATTCCGGTTGATGATCCTTTTGTATCACGATATCATATGTCGAACATAAGGCATGGACAAGCCACCTTATCTGATTCGACTGCTTTCTCGTTCACTGAGTTCGACTGTCTGAAATAGACGAAGCTCGTCTATAGTGCGGCCACACATTTCTACAGTCTCGCTCACACGAGGGCCCCAACGATATCTCTCTCTTTTACGAGAGGTACAAATCTCATCTTGACTATCTACAATCCGGTACATGATTCGTTTCGTACCTGATACACGCCTTTATAGTCCTCCTGTTACGCAGGACGTTTGACGTATTCAAAGCACGCAACTCCTCATGTTGGATTCCGTAGATATCTCAGGTCTTAGGATAAGTATGAATGTGTGAAGGATCTATCCACCCCCCCAGACTTAAACCATACACCGTCCACGGTGTAGACTCTCGCCCGGAAAAGTAGAATCGAAGACAACATATGAAAAGAACCAATAAAGGGGATAGAGAAACTTAGCTCTGCGAAATTCGTTCGCTCCAACGAAGTTAACTCACGTCAAACGCAAGAGCTCTCTTACACTCTGTGAACTTGAACCTATCCGACATTGTCTCTCAGAAGTCGATGCTTATCTCTCGTGTGTCGGTGTGAACGCTCATAGAACAACAAACGTTATCTGAACAAAAGCATAATGATAGCAATGCATTATGAAAGATCCAAAATACAATCATAGTCTCTACTACCTACGCTACAAAGAAAAAGAAAAGAAAAAGAAAAGTTACCTAGTGCTCGGGTTGCCTCCCGAGAAGCGTTTGTTTAAAGTCTTTACCTCGACCTATCTTGTTCAAATGATGGGAGGGTCTGAGAGTGATGAATCTGGAGGTCGGGGTGGTGGTCTATGCGGGTGTCTCACATACTATGATTTCTCCACATGTGTCATCCATGCTTGATCATCTGCAATGAAAGAGTAAAAAAACAAGTATGGGATTATTAAAACGGCGCTTACTTGTTTCTACTGGCCTGAGGATGACATCTTCTAGCCACTTTCTATCGTCTGAAAAACTGACAGGGTCCGAGTTGCATGTGATATGGTCTGAGTCAAGTTTATGAAAGAAGTCACTTATGCTTGTTGTGGCCCGATCAATCTCAAGTGTATGGGAGATAGACTCATGTTCCGTTTCTCCTATATTTAGCAATCGAGTAATCTCCCAAATCGCCTCCCAATTGTTGTAGATGTTCTCGTCACCTGTAATCATAGTAAGGGGGAGAGCAAACTAGTGTAGATGGTTAGAAAACAAAAACTATACATAGGACGTGACTCAAATATACACACAAAAAGACTCGAAAAAGACATGACTCAATATATACACAAGCAAGATCTAGAATCGATAAAGACCTAGAAATAGGTTAACCAGTCCCCGGCAACGGCGCAAAAAACTTGATACGTGTGTATCGAGTCTAGAATTTATAACCCGATCCACAACTCACTGCAAGGATACGGATCGTCGTAACACGGGATCAAACGCAAGGATCGGTAGCTAAATCTAAACCCTAATCGAAACCAAATCAAAACAAGGAAGTGGAAGTGATGGTAGAAATATGTGGAATGAATGGAAAATAAGGAAGCAAAGCAATAAAAACGAGTAAAGTATCAATCTAAGATGACCACGGGTGTCGGGATCGTATTCGAGTGTATGGGTATATGCTAAGCATGCGAGAATAACGATTATGACTTGTGTTCGGGAATCATCAGGCAACAAACATAGATAATTCATCTCTCGGTCTACTAACTCACTACTTACAGAGTAACTCGACAATCTCTCGATCTATTCAAGTTAACCCTAGATGCATGAAGAACGCTATCATCAATCCTAAATCGATTAAACCATATCTCTATGTGAATAATACGATCTATCCTATTGATTTTGATCCGAAACCAAACCCATATCTCTATATAGTTTAGAATCTAAGATAATTGACCAAGGGATTAGCAAACATCAATCGAATAAAAGCACAAATCAATAGAACCGAAACAAATCAAAACCGAAATCCAAGTTAGGGTTCAAACATACCCAAAACACAAACGAATCCCTAACCCATAGTCGTGGATCTACTCACGGTTCATGGAAAACAATATAAAGCTCAGAGAAAAAGAGATAAAAGAGAGGAGAGAAAAGCTCATGTAGATGTGTAGTCTCCTCAACGGAATGGACGGACTGACACGTCTGGACCGTCCGGTCCAGGCCTGGATCGGACGGTCTAGCCGTCTGAAACCCTTCCAGCTCATTCCGTCGTTCCTTCTCGCGTCATTCTCTTCACGTGTAATCCATCCCTAATGGTGTGTGACCCTGTAGGCCCATTCGAAGTGGTAGTGGCTTCAGAAACCCTTTCCCGAACCATAAGTCATGGTTAGCCTCTAGCAAGACGCCGTGACCACCCACCTAGAATGGAGTTAGAGGTGATCTAACAAAGCCAGCAATAGTTCGAGTTCTGATCCTTTGTCTCACGATGTCATATGTTGAACAAGGGCATGGAGTGAGCCACCCTTCCAGTTCAACCGCTTACTCGTCTTGGCAAATCGACTGATAAAATAGATGTAACTTCATTTATAGCGTGGCCTTGCATTTTCACAGTCCGATTTCCACGAGGGGCTCAGCGACATCTCTCATATTAAGGAGGTGACAAGTCCCATATTGCATGTCTACTATCTCCATATGATTCGTGAACGTATCTGATCAACGCCATTATAATCATAATGTTAAAGACGACGTTTGATGCAGTCAAGACACGCCACTCCTCATATCAGATACTCTAGACATCTCAGGTCTGAGGATCCAAGAATGAACCGTTGTATGAGATTCAAGTCATGACTCATGTCCATATGACAATCTCATACGGGTCATCCAGTCACTCGTTTCAAACGAGTACCCATGATTGTGATTCGCATCCAATGCATATGATCATCACCATCATCAATCACATCTCATGCTGGTCGTAATTCATCATTGTTCCCACAATGACAACTGACCAGGGAATTTAGAATCATCATCAATGATTCAAGGATATCTATCGAAACATAACAAACATGCCAATCATATAACCGGAAAAGTAATGCATTCATAAACCAATGAATCAATACATAGTCAAAATATCATATCACGGATCATCGTAGAGCATTACAACCAACAGTTCAGATACGCCATTCCACTGAAGCGTTTCAGGAAGAGTTAATTGTGATACAATACCACAATCAACCAGATAGTCAGAGAACTCTTGGCTCATATACTCGCCACCACGGTCAGATCGAAGTGTCTTGATCGTCTTGCCAAGCTGGTTATGTACTTCGTTTCCGAAAGCCTTGAACATTTCAAGTGTTTCAAACTTATATCTCAGTAAATAGACACAACCGTATCGACTGAAATCATCAGTGAACGTAACAAAATACAGATAACCTCCTCTAGCTGGACAACTCATTGGTCCGCATACATCACTATGTATGAGAGCCAATAACTCTGTCGCTCTATGTCCTTTCCCCTTGAAAGGATGCTTTGTCATCTTGCCCATCAAACAAGACTCGCAAGATTCAAGTGACTCAAAGTCAAATGAATCCAGAAGACCTTCATGATGAAGCTTCTGAATGTGTTTCTCGTTTATATGGCCTAGTCGACAATGCCAGAGGAAGATCGGGTTTAAGTCGTTCGGCTTAAACCGTTTAGTACTCACGTTATAGATGGACGATGTCGAGTTCGAAGGCTGATCATTCAAGATGTATAAACCATTCACAAGATAACCATTACCATAGTAAATACTGTCTCGATAAATCATTAAACTCGAGTTCTCAATTACAAATCGAAAACCATCTAAATCCAGACATGAAATAGAAATGATGTTTCTGCTAATCGCATACACATAGTAACAATTACTCAATTCTAAAACAAGTCCAGAAGGAAGATGCAAATCATAAACGCCAACACACAATGCAGCAACTCTTACTCCATTTCCGACGTGCAGATCCGCTTCTCCCTTTGCTAGCATCCTACTTCTTCTTAGTCCCTGCACATTTCCACAAATGTGTGAGACACTTCCAGTATCCAATACCCACGAAGATGTAGTACATATGTTAGCTTTTATAACATGAATACCTGAGGCAGAAGCTTCACCAAGCTTCTTATCCTTCAGATCCTCCAAGTAAAGGTGACAATTACGCTTCCAGTGTCCAGAGTTCTTCGTATGAACCCTCTTCTACACTCACCTTCTTAGCCTTTCCCATGACCTTAGGACCGAACTATTCCTATGAATAACGATAAATAGGTTTGAGAAACATGTTTGGTAAATAGTTAGAACAGTCTGGGTGACACAGCGATAGGAAAAACTCTCATAGCTATTATTCATTCCGAGGGACGAGAGACCATAGTAAAATAGACTTGATTCCATTCACAGATAGCTAGAACTAGATAAGAATCTGGCTTTTGACAATCATATGGAATCGACCCTTCATTCTCATTTTCTCTTTTTAGACTACTTTTCCTAGAGTTTTGCTCGAGGACAAGCAAAAGCCTAAGTCTGTGGGAGTTGATGACGTTATTTTTCTATGGTTTTAGTTGCATTTCACCTATCTTTTTCATACATATTTAGTACTTAGACTGCATTTTAAGTACGAATATCGTTTTCTTTTCTCTTTGATGTTATTTCAGGAATATATGCGTATTTAGATGAAAACGGAGCTAAAACGGTATTTTCAGAGCTTCAATGGACCAAGTGGATGATCACGGATGAGCTAAGGAAGGTCGCGAATTTGTCACGGGCTAGAGATGTTAACCGGACTGGCTTGGTTTGGACCAGCCCGGCTTGTCATGAGCTCACCTTTTTATTGGCTCGGACCAAACCGACCCGTTTATAAATAGGCTAAAACTAAGTGGCCTGAACCAGGCCGTCAAATTCATACGGTTAAATGAGCTAGCTCGCGAGCCAACAAAAAATACAAAGTGAAATGACAAACATACTAAAATAATACGTTGGCCTGAAAAAAAAGTCATACAAACCATGACGAATCAAATCTGATACAAATCAACAGAGAACATAACCTAAAGTCAGACAGACACCAACCGAAACTGATACAAATATGAACCTAAGGAAGAATAAAAAAATTTCATATGAAGATACCAAACAAAAACCAAAGGGCATGTCGTTGATTTGTAGAAATAAAAAAACCCAGAAACTTTTTCAGACATAGCTAATCAAAACTAGAAAAGACAAAAAAGAACCGAAAATCCAAAAAACCCTGAAACCCAACAGAAACAGAAGCACTGAGCAAAAAACCCAGATCGAACATAGACGCAAAAGTCAAAGAAGGACAGAAAACAACTAGTTCCGATGATTTGATGAATACTAACCTGGGATAGTCGACGATGATGGTAACAGGGATGATGACAGTGACGACAACGACGATGACGTCGGCGACGGTGATAGGTGATGACGACGGTGAACAGAGAAGAGAAGTTGTCGTACTTGTTTAGAAGAAGAGAGTAATAGAGTGAGAGAGTGGAGAAATAAAATTAGGGTTACGTTCAAAACTTCAAATTAGAAAAATAATAAATAAAATTAGAGAAAAAAATAAAAAAAAGTTTGGGCTTGCGGGCTGGCTCGTAGCTCGTTAGGCTGGCTCGCGGTTAATCTGACTCGTGACGGGCTGGCTCGTTAGGCCCCGTTTATAAACGGACTCTAAAATAGCTGACCCAGCTCGGTAATAAATGGTTTGGTTTAGGGCTGGCTCGTGGGATCCAAAGTCTGTTTCTCGCCTATGACGGCCCATTTAACATCCCTATCATAGGCGAGAAACGGACTTTGGAGCGGAACAGAAAGAATCTCGATGTTAAGAACATGAATATCGACGTTGCATAACATCGATATCGACGTTTCTCAACATTGATCTCGATGTTTTCAGCCACCTCGAGATCAGACTTTAGATTTTCCGATCTAGATGTTCCTCAACATCGACATTATAACGCCCCGAGGGCGCTACGGAATGATAGAGTTGTCCTCACACACCAACACGAGACCTTTTAACGTGTTTTGTCCTCACTCGCACACATCTCGGAAAGTATTTCCCAGGAGGTCGTCCATCCTAAGACTACTCCAAAGCGAGCATGCTTAACTTTGGAGTTCTCTCGAAATAGGTAACCGAAAAGGTATATGCATCTTATTGCTCTGAGTAACTCAATAAATTCCTTTAAGTTATCTATGACTGTGTAGTCCCATACCTATACAGCCCTCGGATCCCTCTCATTCTAGTGCGTTAGATTCATCCCTGTACTCCCTACGCAGAAGCTCGTCAAGAGCTGCTCCTTGATTGTGCCTCTCGCACCGGTGATCACTCCCCGCCCTCCTACGGTATCCTAGGCTGTCAAGACATCAATGTTCACATATCGAGATCTGAGCGAGATCACTACACTTCGGACAACATCGATATCGATGTTCCCAACATCGATATTTTGAAAGTTCTATAAAAAGAACTTTACAAAAAATGAGAAGGGGTTCGAACATTTCACGTTTCATGACATTTTCCGATTGTTCTTCGTTTTGTGACATTTTGGGAGCATTTGAAGCTAGAAGATTGCTACATTTCGGAGTTTGGAGATTGATTCTACATTCTATAAGTCTCATTTCTCTCTGCTTCTGAACACTACAAAAAAATCATCGAATTCCAACGGATTTTCCAACGGATTTTCAACAGTTTTCAACGGTGTTTCAACAACGATTTCCGTTAAAATTCCGTTGAAAATTTCCAACGGATATCCGTTGGAAACAACCGTTGGAAATTTTTAACGGAATTTTCAACGTATTCAATTGAAAAATTGGGTTGGAAATTTCCAACGGTATTTCCAACGTTTATCCGTTGGAAATTTTCAACGGATTAACGTTGGAAAAATGGGTTGCAAATTTTTAACGGAGTTCCAACGGATGTTTGTTAGAAAACAATTCCAACGGAATTCCAACGGATGCCGGTTGGAAATTTTTTTGGAAATTTTTTAAAAAAATTCCAACGAAATTCCAACGGATGCCGGTTGCAATTTTTTTGGAAATTTTTTTAAAAAAAATTCCAACCGAATTCCAACGGATGCCGGTTGGAAATTTTTTTGAAAATTTTAAAAAAAATTCCAACGGAATTCCAACGGAATTCCAACGGAAATCGGTTGGAAATTTGGATTTTAATTGAAAAATCAATTGAAATATATATATATATATATATTTATATATGTATATATTCGAATTCATATATATGTATGTATAATATATATTTGTTATGTATATATAAAATATATATACACAAAATATACATGTATTTATAATATACATAACAAAAATATATATATTTATATGAATTCGAATATATATATATAATATATGCGTATATATATGTATATTAAGGAGGTGTATATATACGTATAAACAAATATTTTATATATTTATACATCTATATATGTATAAATATAGATATATTTTGTGTTTATATATTTTTATATATACAAATATGATGTGTGTATATATACACATATATGTATACGAATAAATGTATATATATATATATTAACCATATACATATACATAACAAATATATATATATATATATATGAATTTGAATATGTATATATGTAAATATGTAAATATGTATATATGTAAATATGTATAAATATTTATATATGTATATATATTAATGTTATATGATATCAGAAGTTTAACTTGGAGGAGTTGGAAGAGTTCTAATGGGAACTCTAGGGTTAATTAGGAGGATTGAGCTGGAGCAGTGGAAGGATGGGTGACCTACTGGGAAGTGAGTTTCGAGATCGTGATTTGGTCGGGTCGGGTTGGTGTCGATGTCGGTGGCGGGTCGGGTCGGGTCGGGAATATGTTTCGAATTTTTCGTTGGAAAATTCCAACGGAATGCGGTTGAAAATTCCGTTGGAATTTTCCAACGGATATCGGTTGGAAATTTCGTTGGAAAATTTCAACGGATTGCGGTTGGAAATTCCGTTGAAATTTTCCAACCGAAATTGCGGTTGGAAATCCGACGGAAAAATTCGTTGAAATTCCGTTGAAAATTCCAACGGTTTTCCAACGGACGCCGATTTCTAACGACAAAATTCCAACGGATAAATCCGTTGGAAATCCGTTGGAAACGTTAATTTCCAACGGAAATTTGGCCATTTTCAACGGATTTACCCGTTGGAAATGACCATTTTTTTTGTAGTGGAAATATTGTATGAATCTGTTGTAGTTTCATTTTCTCCCATGGATCGTGGGTAGTTTACTTGCTGTAGGCTAGGGATTCTAGCCATGTTATGGATTGTCTCATGTTCTTGATATGATTATTGCATGTTTTGTTTATATCCGGTCTTATGAATTGATCTTAATGCTTTCATCAAATTGATCACCTCTATGAATTGAATTTGCTTTGGTTAATTGCAAAGGGATTTGGACTAGTTAAACCGGAATTCGTTCACAAGATAGGTTCAATTATTAATTCTAAACGCTTAGGAGGGACTTCATAAGGAATTATTAATTCAACCTAGGAACAATGATAGCAGATGTTAAGGCTTCTAATGTAGACCTAGAGATGCGGAAGCTCTAAGAAAGCATTAGTTAGAGAACGATGATCCCTGGCCCAAACGTGTTTTAGTTTAGAAGCTAGAGTTTCTCGAATCTATCAAAAATTGCAATTCAATCTAGATCTTTAGGAACTATCCATAGCATCGGTGAAACCTCGAACCTAAAGTGTCTTTAGATATAGAGTTTTCCAACCAACCAGCCATTTTGCTCTCGACCTTCGCTAGAATCACAATCGACTGCATCACCTCTTGGTCCCTATGTTCGACTCTGGTACTACATCGAACATGTACCCTTTCAGAATCGGCTTAGTGTAGGCTCTTATTACTTGACCCAAATCTATTCACCTAGATTGGCACAATCACCTGACTTTTATTCCGGTTATTAAGTCCTCTGCTATTCCAACAAAAAATCATGGAATCCCGTTACCTTCTATTAGTTAACCGTTGAGGCCTTCCGACCGCGACTCCTTCCTTCGCTCGACCTCTGCCTTTTGTTTTGACAAATTGAAACTCATCCACCATATTAACTTGGGAGCTCTGAGGGCTGCTATTAGGAGAGTTCTCCGGCTCAGAACTTGGCAGCTTCTTTGCGCTATTTGTCTCCCTCACCTCGGTATTTTGGGCTCTCGCATCGACTACGGGAACCATCATCGGCATAGCAGTTGGCGGAGCAACTTCTTCTTAAAGGGGGGAACCAACCTCTGCAAAGGGTTAAGCCTCAGTTTCCTGGATATTCTTAGGAAGTGATTGATCTTGCTCGGGGGAGGCGGTTTCAACCATCGCTTCGTCTCTTTATTGACTGATCGGATGACAAGTGGTTTCACTTTCAGACAAAATAGTTGGGCAGTGACGAATAAAGTGGCCAATTTCATTTCATCTATCACAGACAAGAGTAACCAAGCATAAGAGATATCCACCTTCTTCATTTCCCCATTTGGCATGGCAATAAGAGATATCACATACATGTATATGTATATATATATACATATGCATATATATATACATGTATACATACATACATAAAAAATAAAAATATATATATATACATATATATTCATATCCACATACAAATACAAATATAGACATAAATACTCCTATGTATAAATATATCTATATATACATATAAAATAAAAAATATGTGCATATATATACATACGTCTATACAAATATATATATATATATGCATATATATACATACAAATGTATTTACATATATACACATACATATATATATATATGTATATATATATGTATATATACATATGCATATATATACATATATATACATGCATATATACATACATACAAAATAAAAAAATTACATATATATTAATATCCACATACAAATACAAACATAAATACTCCTATGTATAAATATATCTATATGTACATACAAAATAAAAAATATACACATATATATACACATATCTATGCAAATATATATATATATACATACATACAAATATATATATATATACATACATATATATAAATACAAATATACATACATACAAAATAAAAACATACATATATATATACGTATATATATTCATATCTATATATAAATACAAATATAAATATATATACTCCTATGTATATATAGATATAAATATATATGTATATATATGTATTTTTTTGTTTTTTATTTTTTTGTTTTTAATTTATTTTTATTTTTATTTTTATTTTTTTAATCTAACGTGTCATGCTGACGTGACAAAAATTTTCTACGTGGCGTGTCAGTCAGCCGCCACATGGCATTCCATGTCAGCTTTTTAACGGATACTTACCACCGTTTCGAATTGTGTAGGAAATTGTAGTAAAATTGGGTAGTTTGTGTATCGATTTGGGACATTTGATAATTTGGTGTAGGTTTTTGTCAAATTAAAAGTTCATGTAGGAAAAAATCACATTTTACAAAGTCCGCGTAGAAAAATATCATTTTCCCTATCTTAATCACTCTACAACGTTACACAACTCTCATAAACCTATTTTATATTGTTTCGAACATTAAAATATGGTTTTTAAGATTTTTTATGTTTCAAAATTGTTCTTCCAAATATGTTCCTATATATTTCATAATGTTTTATGAGTGCTTTTGATAAATTTGGTATATTTCATCTATAAATCCTTTAAAATAAATTTGAAAAATTTTCATACACACTATATATTTGATATATATAGACTCTGATAAACCACTCCAAAGCTTAAAAATTAAATTTTGACCTATATTTATCAACACATTTTGGTCACGCGTTACACTCGGTCACAATGGTCACACAGTGCAAAATTGTACTTCGGTCACATGGTTACAAGCTGGTCATAATGGGTCACAACGATGACTCGTATGAGTTAACTTATTTAGTGTGTAACAAAAGTCACATATATAGGAAAGTAAATAGAAATTATTGGGTAACTAAATTTACTCAGAATTATTTTAACACATTATTATACAAAACTTTTAACACATTATTGTACAAACAAATACAACATTATTATACAAAGATTTTTGGATATTATTATACAAAAGTTTTTTAACACATTATTACACAAATAAAGTACACCATTATTAAATAAATTTTGTTTTTTTCTTCACTCCAAATTATGCGTTCTCTACAACATTGTCGATATTGATGTTCCTTTTGCATGATGGTGTACTGTGTTTATATAATGTATTCATAAATAAGTTTAGATACAAATTAGGTGTTATCTCCGACAAGTTCATAAGTAAATTCATATACAAAATAATCAAAAACAAAAAATAAAAATTCATAATTTAGGGTTTTACAAAACAAATAAAAGAGGGTCATAGTTAATGTTCAAACACAAAACAAGTCATTTGGTTAAGTAAAAGTTCACGATTTCTTCGTCACCTTGCCATGAATAGATATTGTGGTTGCCAATTGCTCATGGATCAAGGAGACATTGTCGCACATATCAAGGGGCACAACGTTTGTTGTTTACCAAGACAAATTGCATCAACATACTTTATTGCAAAAATACCACATTCACAACCGTTATCATTTTGCGATTTCTCTCTCCTCTCATTGTAGACGTTCTCCTACCATTTATGTAACACTTTGTCAATATACGGTGTTAGGGTTTAATGATCATGTGACCATGTGACCGTGCGACCATAAGACCGTGTGACCATGTGATCATGGGACCGTGTGACTATGTGACCTTGTGATCATATGAGTTTGTCACCCTTATGACCTATGTCAACCATTTTCCTAATGGCTCGTGACCCATATGACTATGTGACCGTGTGACTATGTAACCTTTATGACCCATCTATTGTGATCCGTATTATCGTTGTAATCCATGACCGATATGCACATTGTTACCTTTGTACTCTATATGTTCATTCTGACTATTGTGATAAGTAAACTGTGTGATTCATTACTCAATTATATTCTAAAAATACTTAAATACAGATTTGACACAGATCTATGACTATGACAAAACTTAGTAAATGATCAAAACTATAGAAAAAAATGTTAAAACCATCAGTGTTCATAGAAAAAAGACTGGGATTTCGTTCGCCGCTTGTATATTTCTAAATTTTTGTTTGATTTCATACAGATTTTGCTATGATTTTGTCAAATTTCGTCAAATTTTGGATATTTTAACTACTGTTTGAGGGTGATTTTGAACACGTCTTTTTTTAAAATCACAAAACAACTTTCGTTTTATCTTTATACTGGAACACTGAATTTGGACTTCGGTTTTTTCGTTGGAAATAAGATTCGCTGCTGGTGATTGAGTTTATTTTATAATAATTAATAAGCATTGGAAACACAGAACAAAAAGGAAAATAAACTAAACATTTCATTAAAAATTATGTTTTATTACAAGAAAAAACCCTGAAGATCAATGCATGACAGGCATTATAAGACAAAAACATTAATCCAGACATAAAAGAGGCCTGAGCGACAAACCTTCTAGAGAGAGTTCTCGCAATAGATATCAAAGACTGAATGTTCTCTACCATTGACCAAAAGCAATAAGAACAAACCCTGTTTTGGAAATGTAGCCATATGATCAGACAGACCTCTTCTTAGTTACCCTTCTCCTTGACGAGCTCCTCGATTGCATCCGCGGCCTGCCCGATTGTGGCGATCGCCTGAGCTTTCTCCTCGGCCATGGTTATCCCGAACTCTTCCTCCAGACCCATCACGATCTCAACCTGACCAAAAACACAAACCCGAGGTTATTTTATCCAATTTGTTTTCCGGTAATGGGAAGACATTGAGTATTATTACTACGAGAATCAACGGAGTAAACCAAAAAGGCTCTATAAGGTTTTGCCCTTTCTAACGTCCATTAGTAGGGGTGGCGATGTTCATAACCGAAAAAATCCAAACCGAATAACACATGACTGTAACCAAACTGAAATCGATATAAAACCGGATGGTTATAAAAAAAATTTAAATCGATGCGAATAAAAACAAATAACAGAAAAACCTGAAAATTTCTTTGAAAAATGATTACTTTTATCAATAAAAATCGAAATAGAAACAAATTTAACCAAACCGAATTCGATATAAAGACCGAATAGTTATAATTTTCCTAAACCTAAATATAACCGAACCGCCCAAAATCCAAAATGGCCACCACTATCCATTAGTGTTTTGGTTCCGGTGTTAAAGTTTTACAATTTCATCTCTACCAACGACAATGAGCAATGCACAGCTTAATGCTAATGGCCCTCGGTATACATTGGTACTTCCGTAGATTATACCTTTTGGTAAAATTTCAAGTACATTGATAAGAACCGCCCTAACATTTCCAGAGAGCCCCAGAGAAGCATGAGCAGCAACAGTCAAGAGAAATAGATAATTTTACCGTGTCAAGAGAATCAGCACCGAGCTCGGTAAACATAGTTGTGGCTGTCACTGTTTTCGAACCATCCAGCGAAAGCTGCTTCTTCACAATTTCACACACCTTCTCCACAGTCTCGGGCTTTGCCTACACTCAATGTCAATCAAACAACATGTATACCATCAATCTTATTCGCATGAAACGGTTTTTATAAATGGGTTCGAAAACATTTTTCATGCAATTAACCAAGTTTCTTTAATATCAACTCGAGAACATTTTCTCATACTGTAGCCATCGTTCCAAATGCCGAATTTACCTAAGACTAAGTTCAACCCAGAATTAGCATTTCCAGGGTTAAAGCTCTTTATGGAAGCTTTAGAAAAGTTACAAAGAACACTATAAGAAAGAACAATGGAGCTCACAGGGCAAGAGAATCTCAACCGAGCAGGTAATGGACGAAGCATGAAAGAAAGATTGCTCCTTCCCTGGGTAAACCCTGTAACTTGCTTCATTGCCATTGCCTGTTCAACATATTCAACAATACCAATCAGTGCACCTTTACACTTGTAACCACAAAACAGTCACTTAACAAATGCAAGAAACATACAAACTTTCACATTGCCAAAACCAAGGCCCTATTCTCAAGTTGACGATTGAGAAAGGCAAACTTCATAACAATTTGAATTTTTCAAACCGGGCCAGGCACTATCTTCCTCCCCATCTCTTGGCAATAATGCTGTTTTAGATATCGATATACGGAATCTAGTTTAAGGCACACAACTCATACTAAAATCCAAAAATTGTCTCATGAATCTTCTTTCTATGACACAAAATCTGTTTGTTTCCCTGACGATTGTTGTACTAGCAATTTAGCTAAATAAAAATGTTTTTCATTTGTTACATAACATTGCAAAAAAAAAAAATGATTTGAATCATCCTAATATTTCAGGACCTGTATCGACTTCAACTCGTAAAGGCTACCAATACTATCTTCCCTCAGTATACGACCATTCACGTCTCACTTGGGTTACCAGATCACTCATTTTTTCAAATCTAAAGTATGCGGCGCCTGGTTTATTGGGGAGACTTGTGTTTTAACTGCAATCTACCTAATAAATCGGACACCCTCCCATCCTTTTCAAAACAAAACTCCTACAGAGATCTTAACTGGCACTAAAACAAGTTATGACCATCTGAAGGCTTTTGGAAGCCTTTGTTATGTCCCCACACATCAACATGAAAGACATGAGTTTTCCCCAAGATCTAGATGGTGTGTTTCTTCGGGATCTCCTTTAGTTTATAAAGGATACATAGTTATAGACATCACTGAATTTTCAAAAGGGTTGTTTTCCATGAGACAATCTTCCAATTTTTGCCAAAGAACCTGATTTTGTAGACACTCCTTTTATAAATCCTTTTTCCGAAACTATTTTGCCAGCATTCTCAAAGAAAATCTTCAACATCCATTTAGAAAATGCTAACACTCTCAGAGAAAAAGTAATGACCACCCCAGTGTTCCAGCAGATCAAAGTAAAAGGAAGAGAGCATAACAAACGACACTGATAATATCGACCGACAACAAGAAGCAAAACCAAATCGATAACAACCATACATAACATGGGCCGGGAACGCAAAATCTGACGCACCATCTTCATCAAAAACACAAAACCAGACAAACGGATCAAGATCTCCAGAAACAAACATGATCCAGGCTCGTCGGCGAAAATATACAACGGCTAGAACAAAAAAAGATGAAAAAGGAAAATAGATCGACAACAATTGATCTTCGTGTTGAGCACGAGAGAGAGATAGATACCATTTGGCAAGGACGAGCCTGCGTGGAGGCCGATGCACCAGCGACGGAGGCCATGGATCCTCTCGATAGAGATCTGGCGGAGACGGAGAGATTTTGCAGAGAAAGAGAGACGGAGAAGACAAGGGGGGTGACTGAGGAACAGGGTTTTATAGCATGGGTGGGTGGGTGTGGTTGACTGCCAAATGTTTGAAGACTTTTTTTTATTGAGTGAAAATCTAGTAAAAATTACTTAATGCAAAAATTTTATGAGAAAATCCCAACAAAATTAACGAAACATGAACTTTTCGAATTCTTAAAATAAATATGAATTAAAATAAAAAAAATCATTATAATTAAATAAAAATAAAAATAAATATAAATATATTAAAAATAAAAAATAAAAATTACAATATACATTTTAAATAAAAATAATTATAATTATATTAAAAGTATTTTAAAAATTTTAAAAATATAAATATATACATACACATATATACATATATATAATTACATTGTATTAAAAATAATTATAATTATATATCTATGTTGTATGTATCTATATATATATACATATGTTATATATGTATATATATGTATGTATATATATGTCTATATATATGTATTTATGTATATATATATTTAGTTGTATATATTTACTGCCTTTTTTATTTTTTAAATTTTTTAAATTATTTTTTATGTAATTATAATTAGTTCATTTTTAATATATATTGTAATTTTATTCTTTTATTTTTAAATTTTTTATTTAATTTTTATTTTATAGAGGAGATGAATTAGTAAAAAGTTAATACCATTTTAGATTATTCATTAATTTTTTTAAAAAATTAAACCGTTAAATTTATATGTTATTTTGAAGTTCTAAAAATTGAATATTAATACGATAACACAATCTCAAATGTTAACACAACGTCAGAATGAATAAATAGTAACACAACTTCAAAATGAATAAATATTAAATTATTTGCTACATCCATAAATACATTATAAACTTTGTTTATTTTTTTGGGTAAAAACTTTCCACCCATGCGTACAAAAATCTAAATATATAATTCCACTCCATATTTTTTTAAGGAAAAATAACAAAAACGTGAATTTATTCAAATATATCTATATCTTACACCAATTTTTAATATAACAAAAAAACCTATATTCAAATTTAAAATGAGTCAAATACATATGCCAAATCAAAAAATCGTTAGCAATTTTCGAAGCGATTAGTACACATCATCAATTTTACCACACAAATCTCTCAAACTTTTTATGTCACCACTTGGGTGATTGTTTCAAGCCAATTTGACTAATTTACACACTTTGTACTCTTGTCCCGATAGAAACAAATCTTTCGATTGTTTCATATACCTCTTCTTTTAAATCACCATTTAGAAATATCATCTTGATATCCATTTGGTAGATGATAAGATTAATTATCGTAACAAGTACAATTAATACTCTTATCAGTTATTCTACCTAGCTACCGATGCATACGTATCGCAGAAATCGATATCTTATTTTTATTTAAAGTTTTGAGGTACTAGTCGAGCTTTTAACTTATCTATAGTTCAATCGACTCTCATATTCTTTTTAAAGATCCATTTGCAACCTTTAGGTTTACAATATATAGAAGGATCTACTAAAATCCAAGTATTGTTGTACATGACGGAATCCATCTCATCATTTATCTCTTATTTTCAGAAGACGATTGTAACGATCCGAGATCACTACAAAATGTTGAAACCGCCCCCACATTCCAACAGAGTCCTTTTAGCGTATTTTGTACTCACTCGCACATATTCCGAAAAGTACTTTCCACGATATCACCCATCCTAAGATTATTCTACAGCAAATACATTTAACTTTGAAGTTATCTCGGGATAGACAATCGAAAAAAGTAGATGCATCTTGTTGGTATGAATAGTTCAATCAAATTTTTTTAAGTTATCATTGACCGTGCAGTCATATATCTACACAACCCTCGAATCCCTCTTATTGCGGTGCGTTCGATTCATTCCTATACCCATCTAGCCTAGCGATACCCGGAGAGTCACTCTTTGTCTATGCCACCTGCACCGACGATCACTCTCCACCCTCATCCTAGCTCAGGATGTCACAACGACATCTTGCGATTATATCGTTTTGTCATACGTTTTAGGATCACCCTCGATAGTATATGAATAAGTGAGTTGAATCACGATTGACTCGTCAGTACCTTCAACTAGGTACATGTGATAGTCTGGACCAAATGACTTTTCTTTCCTTATACGTTAACCTCTACGAGGTTCCTGTTGTCCATCTACATGATCGGTTTCTCGATCACTCGACGTCGGTATAACTAGGGATGTCAAAACGAGTCGAGCTCGCGAGCCGACTCGAGGTTGGCTCTTTTTTTACCGAGCCGAGCCAAGAATATCTGAACCCAAATAAAAATGGGCTGAGTGAGCCAGCTCGCCACGAGCCAAGCCCAAACGAGCTAGTTGTTGGGTTCCCTGCGGGTTCCTAGCATGCGATCTCATCGATCTAGGGTTTGGTTTCTAGGTTTCATGCAGTGGAAGAAAAAGATCTAAACCTAGCCAAATGTCACACAAAACCAATTGTGCAATAACCCGAAAGAACGTGTATATCACTGTGGGATTCGAATACTTACCTCGTTCTATCAAGATCTGGAAGTATCAATCGATCCAGGGCCTGTTTTAATCACCAAGAGTTGAAAGCACAACTCCTCTACACGTATCCACACCGGCGGAATGAATTCCAACACTTTGAAACGTATCTGTTAGGATTTGTGAAGAGAAAACGACGTCCTTGACTTGGAATCGATATTCCGATGTTTAGAACTCAAGAGAAAGCTTCTCCAAAGCTCTAGAAAGAGTCTAGGACGTCTGAGGATGATTGCTTAGGATTTGAGGCGGCTCCCTTTATTAATTAAGATTGCCCAAAACCCTAAAACGTGAAAAAGGAGATTATCCTGTAAGTCGGACCGTCCGGTCTAGGTCTGGACCGGACGGTCTGTCTTCTACGCGGAATGGACGTTCCGTTTTTCCTCGCAGAACGGACGGTGTTGACACCTGGACCAGACGGTCTGGTCCTTGCGGAATGGACAATCCAATTTCCACTAGAACGGACGGTCCGGAACGGATGGACCGTCCGGTTCAAGTCTGGACCGGACGGTCTGGCCATCTGGAACTCTTCCAGATCGTTCCGTCGTTCCTTTCTCGCATTGTTCTCTTGACGTGTGATCCATCCCTAATGGTGTGTGACCCTGTAGGCCCATTCGAATTGGTAGTGGCTTCGGAAACCCTTTCCCATACCACAAGTCACGGTTAGCCTCTCGCAAGACGCCATGACCACCCACCTCGAATAGAGTTAGAGATGATCTAACAAAGCCAGCGATAGTTCGAGTTCTGATCCTTTGTCTCACGATGTCATATGTTGAACAAGGGCATGGTATGAGCCACCCTTCAAGTTCAACCGCTTACTCGTCTTGGCAAATCAACTGGTAAAATAGATGAAACTTCATCTATAGCGTGGCCACGCATTTTTCACAGTCTGATTTCCACGAGGGGCCCAGCGACATCTCTCCTGCTTAGGAGGTGACAAGTCCCGTATTGCATGTCTACTATTTGCATATGATTCGTGAACGTATCTGAGCAACACCGTTATGATCATCAGGTTAAATACGACGTTTGACGCAGTCAAGATACGCCACTTCTCATATCAGATACTCTAGACATCTCAGGTCTGATGATCCAAGAACGAACCACTGTATGAGATTCAAGTCATGACTCATGTCCATATGACAATCTCATGCGGATCATCTAGTCACTCGTTCCAAACGAGTACCCATGATTGTGATTGCATCCAATGCATATGATTATCATCATCAATCACACATCATGCTGGTCTTAATTCATCATTGTTCCCACAATGACAACTGACCAGTGAGTTTAGAATCATCTGCAATGATTCATGGATATCTAACGAAACATAACAAACATGCCAATCATATCACGGGAAAAGTAATGCATTCATAAACCAATGAATCAATACATAGTCTAAATGTCATATCACGGATCATCGTAGAGCATTACAACCAACAATCTCCCACTATGCTCTATGATTTATCCTACAAGCATCTAATCCCCATACCCATAACATGACCATCATGCTTTGACGAAGGGAGAGACTTCGTCAGCGGGTCGGCAATATTATCATCCGTCGACACTCTGTTTATCTTCACATCTCCTCTGTCGATGATTTCTCTGAACAAGTGAAATCGTCTGAGTATGTGTTTGGATCTCTGGTGTGACCGGGGTTCCTTAGCTTGTGCGATCGCACCATTGTTGTCACAGTACAACTCAATGGGATCTGCAATACTAGGAAAGACGCCCCGGTCTCTCACGAATTTCCTTATCCAAACAGCTTCCTTAGTTGCATCCGATGCTGCTATGTAATCGGCTTCTGTAGTCGAATCTGCAACGGTTGGCTGTTTGGAACTCTTCCAACTAATAGCCCCACCGTTCAGGCAGAAAACGTAACCTGATTGCGATCTGAAGTCATCTCTGTCGATCAGGAAACTAGTATCGGTATAACCCCTTATAGCGAGCTCGTCTTCCAATCCGCCATACACCAAGAACAAATCCTTAGTCCTTCTTAAGTACTTAAGGATGTTCTTGACCGCAATCCAGTGAG